GAAGTATCTACTACATTCAAAGAAGGGAAGAGAACAGAAAGGAAAAGAAAAATGAACATGTATATATACGCTGTGTGTTTTTCATCTAAATGTAGCTGACGATGATTACAGTTGTAATTGAAAGCTTCTGTTTTAAATAAAAATTTTAAAACTATGATTGTTGAATTAATACAATTAATCTTATCGAGAATATCTGAATTTTGGAAATTCGGACTTTTAGAAGCTCTGAAGTTTAGGATACAAGAAATTCTGAATGTTGGAATTTTTGAACCTTCGAACTTATGAAGTTTAGCATAGTAGAATTCCAGTAGTCTGAAGTTTCGCATACAGGAATTGCTCACTTTCAGAACCTCTGAAGTTTAGCGCAGAAGAAGTTCTGTATTTGCGAAGTTCTGACTTTTAGAACCTCTCAAGTTTAGCATGTTAGAATCTAGAAAAAAGATTATTCCATTGGTGTGATGTTCTTTCTCTTTTGATTCTTGGGTATAGCAAAACGCATTCGTATATCAAAATTCCTTGTACGTCATTCACAGGTTTTTTTAAGAGAAAAAAAAATTAAAGCTTTTTTCATCACGTTCAAGAATTAATACTGATTTTATCAGTACGTCAGTACTTATGTATTTTACTATCAAACTCAGAAAACCATACCCATTAAACATCGACACATCAGAAATTCTTCTATGCTTAACCGCAGAAGTTTTAAAAGTCAGAAGTTCAAAAATTCAGAAGTTGTAAAATTCAGCTATTTAAACATTGAAAAATTCTTATATGCAGAAATTCAGAAGTTCTGTGATTCAGAAATTCCGAAATTCGGAAATTGTTATTTGCTAAACTTCGGAAATTCCAAAAATCCACAAAAAAATGGAATTTTTTCTGTGCGAAAATTCGATAATTGTAAAATACAGAAATTCCAAAATTCCGCAATTTCAAAATAGGGAAATTCTTAAATGCTAACAGAAGTTCTAAAATTCAGAAATGCCAAAACACAGAAATTGCACATTCAGAGAGCGTTGCATGAGATTGTTTTATTATGAATGTTAGTGAAGCAGAGATTTTAACCCATTGTGTTTGTTCCTCATTTAGAAAAAGATTATTTCAGTGGTGTGATGTTCTTTCTCTTTTGATGCTTGGGTATAGCAAAAAGCATTCGTATATCAAAATTCCTTGTACGTCATTCATAGTTTATTTTAACAGAAAAAAAATTCAAGCTTTTGTCATCACGTTCAAGGATTAATACAAAAATATAGAAACTCAAGAGACTGATTTTATCAGTACCTCAGTACTTACTTATATTATTATTAAAGTGAGAAAACCATATCCATTAAACATCACACATTGTCGAATTGAACTATGAATTTTTCAATTATTTTATTATGTTTAACGGTCATAACTTGTTCATTAGTTGAACTAATACATACTATGAATTTGTCGTCAAAATTAGTCAACCGACATGAACAAACAGAATTATTAAAACAAGAAAATATAATATATTGTAAATCAACATGTAATTTCACCCGTAAATTTGATGAATTCGAAATAGAGACAGAATGTGAGCGCGAAATTGGTTTTAGCTATTGTAGTCTTAAAATATTGTTGGACTACAGGTCTCAAGCTTTTATGGTATCATTTTTATCCAACGCGAGTGATACAATAAACGATGATAATTTAATTCATGAGGTAGTAACGTCTCTAATATTCGATGAAACATCTGCTGACCGTGTTTGGGTTACGTATGAATGTAATACAAATGATTGTGATATACAATATACAAATTGGTTTATTGATAAAATGTCAAAGAGCAGCAGTGTACAAATGTCACTGAAAAGTCAGCTCTCACGAATATTAATCGATAAAGATGAAAATGATGAACTAGAATGTTATGTTAGCGAAGTGAGCGAGACACTACCATGTCATGGAATTGCTTGTTATGCTGTTGGTAAAGACGATGAGACATACTTTGCTGAGTGTTACGAAATGGGGTCTGATAAATATAATATGCAGATTCTAATAGAAACAACAAAAGATGGTACTACTGTGCAATATCTATGCAATATAAATGACTGTAATGATGAAGATAGATTCCAAAATGTCATTAAAATTATCAAAGACATAAATATTCTTTCTTTCCTGTTTACGAAACCTAATAATACAACAATAACAACGCCATCAATAATACAAACTGTGGATCACATAACGTCAGGTAGCAATTCATATGTAACACTCTCTGACAAACAATATACGACAGAAATAAAACCAGATGAAAATAAAGTAACAACAACATTTGGTCGTACCACCGATCAAACAACACCAGAGAACAAGAATTCTAACACAAATATTTATTTAAGAAAAACGTTGATATTTTTCAGTTTCCTAGTTCATTTTTCAATCTGAATTTAGAATCTATGAGGCTTTCGTATATAAATTTAAAATATGCTTATCAAAAGTTTGTTATCGTTTCTAATAAATGGTCTGAACGGCTTTACTTAAGAATAGCTACTAGAAATACAACAAAATCCAGGCTCGCTACGTTTCGATGTTGATAAGGTCTTTCTCAAAACATCTATCGTGCACTTTTACTGAAACCGAAGAAAACAAATTTTAGAGAACACTTTCTGACTCTTTTATCAGAAAAGTAAGCGTGAGGAATGATAAATATAAACGATTGGTCTGTATTACACTGCAAAACATGAAAAGAAAAACTTATTTGTTTGTTCTTTTGGCTTCGAACTTATTATGCCAAAACCAAACCACAGACGCTTGAGATCCTCTAGAAAACTATTTCAAACTTTTATTAAATGAATTCTCTTCTAAAGCTTGACCTTATACATACTGTTGGCTAAGAACTTTGTCTATATTCATGCATATTACAACGATTTTTGCAAGCTGCAATAGTACTAATCAGAGGGACAATTCTGGAATTCAGGGTGGAAGAAGAGTCGAACAGTTAGGTGGAATTTGTAAAAATAGTAAATAATTGTATTATACGTAACTCGTTTTGTTTCATGTCTGTTGTTTTATTATGAATGTTAGTGAAGCAGAGATTTTAACCCATTGTGTTTGTTCCTCATTTAGAAAAAGATTATTTCAGTGGTGTGATGTTCTTTCTCTTTTGATGCTTGGGTATAGCAAAAAGCATTCGTATATCAAAATTCCTTGTACGTCATTCATAGTTTTCTTTAACAGAAAAAAAATTCAAGCTTTTATCATCACGTTCAAGAATTAATACAAAACTATAGAAACTCAAGAGACTGATTTCATCAGTACCTCAGTACTTACTTATTTTACTATTAAACTCAGAAAACCATACCCATTAAACATCGACACATCAGAAAGTCTTCTATACTAAACTTCAGAGGTTCGAAGATTCAGAAATTCCAAAATTCAGAAATTGTTATATGCTAAAGTTCAGCGGTTCTAAAATTGAGAAATCCGTTAAACATCGACACATCAACAATTCTTATATGCTAAACGGCAGAAGTTATAAAAGTCAAAAGTCCAAAAATTCCGAAATTGTAAAATTCGGATATTTAAAAATTAAGAAATTATTATTTGCTAAAGTTCAGAGCTCGGAATTTTAGAACCTAGGTTCTAAAATTCCGAAATTCCAAAAAAGACAGAATTTCTTCTATGCGAAAATTCAGTAGTTCTAAAATTCAGAAATTGTTATACGCTAAAGTTCAGAGGTTAGGCATATAAGAATTTCTCAATTCTGGAATTTTTGAACCTTCGAACTTCTGAAGTTTCACATAGGAGAATATCTGAATTTTAGAACTTCCGAAGTTCGGCATACAAGAATTTCTGAGTTTTGGAATTTTTGACTTTTAAAACCTCTGAAGTTTAGCATAAAAGAATTTCTCAATTCTGCAATTTTTGAACCTTCGAACTTCTGAATGTTCGCATGTATGCATTTCGAAATTTTGCAAATTTTTGACTTTAGTTACTTTCGAAGTTCAGGGTAAAAGAATTTCTGAACTGTGGAATTTCTGACTTTTACAGCTTCTGAAGTTCAGCATACGAGAATTTCTGACGTTTAGAACTGCTGAAGTTTAGCATATAAGAATTTCTGACTTTAGGAATGTCTGACTTTTACAACTTATGAGGTTTAGCATATAAGAATTTCTGAATTTTTCGATGTCTGAATTTTAGAAGTTCTCAGGCTTAGCGTAGAAGAATATCGGAATTTTGTAACCTCTGAAGTTTATCATAGAACAATTTCTGACTTTAGGAATGTCTGACTTTTACAACTTATGAGGTTTAGCATATAAGAATTTCTGAATCTTCGAACTTATGAAGCATCGAAGGATGTCTGAACCTTAGAACTTCTCAAGGTCAGCATAAAAGAATTTCTGAATTTTATCACTTCGAAAGCTCAACATTTTTGAATTTTTGAATTTTTGACTTTTAGAACTTCTGAAGTTTAGCATATATGAATTTCTGAATTTTCCAATATCTTAATTTTATAACCTCTGAAGTTTAGCAGAGAATAATTTCTGACTTTTACAACTTCTGAAGTTCAACACATAAGAATTTCTGAATTTTGGAGTTTCTGAATTTGGAATTTGGGAGTGTCGGAATTGTCTAACTATTGGATGGATCGAAAACAAAACTGTATCGGATACACACCTGTAAGAATTTTCTCGGTCAATTTTTCAGGTTCTAACAAAGTGATATCCAGACCGATATGTACAAATTCGAAGAAGAGAATTTTCATATCGACACCAAAGTCAAAGTTAACCTGTTATTCGATCGAACTTGGAAAATTCTATTTAGGACAATGTTGGAAGCGGTCAACGCCACAAAAGTGCTTAAGAAAAAGTGAAGAGGCAAGTTGCGACGATATATAGAATGCTTTTCTGTATCGGAATTTTTTTTTTCTCCACTAAACAAATGAAATATTTCTTTTTTTGACTAGAGTTTGCTATTCACAACAAACTAATTCTATTTTCTATTACTGAGAAAAAATCTCGAATGATTTCCACCGATGTTCACCTGCAGATTAAACAAAAATCTTGTTCATTCTGACTGAGAGTCTGAGGGACACATATTTTATGGATTTGCTAAGAGACAACAACCAACTCATCTATTATGAATATTGAAAGTAGCATATTGTTTTTTCAACAAATAACAGGTTTCAAATACTTGATGTTGATTTGTAGGTCCACACTCGATAATTTTACGAAGGATAATTAGATGCATTGTTTGAATAAAGTTGTAGTATTTCTGCGCTGTTGGTCGCTAATTACGGAAAATATGAAGTGAGACGATATCGAATTGGTGACACTGAAGGAACAGTGGTTGCAGGTGGAAATGGAAGTGGAAATCGTCTCGATCAACTCTCTACTCCTTGGTACGTATTTGTGGATCGAGATCATGCAATGTACGTGTCTGATCATGACAATCATCGTGTGATGAAATGCGAAGGTACAAAACAAGATATTGTCGTAGCCGGTGGTAAAGGTCAATAGTCTTTCACAACTGTCGGTTCCTCGAGGAGTCGTTGTTGATCAATTGGGCACTGTCTATGTGGCTGATTCTTTGAATCATCGAATCATGCGTTGGCCAAAAGGAGCCACACGGGGAAGTGTGATTGCTGGTGGAAACGGTCAAGGAGGGCAGTCGAATCAATTGAATTATCCCTTTGGTTTATCATTTGATCGACATGGCAATCTCTATGTCGCCGATCAGTGCAATCACCTGGCACAAAAATTTAATATTGATTCAAATTCATAGTTTATTGTTGTCAACGTCATTATCGTTGACAGTTGAACACTTTCCTATGAAGGATATAAATCATGTGTGTCTTCTCTCTCTTTCTCTCTGTTTCTTTATTGTCTAAAAGTCGTCTGAATGTATTCACAGAAGACGAAGAATAGAGAAAAGCAGCAGTAAAAGGAATGTCTTCGAATGAAAAGAAAATGAATTACTATGCATTCCAAAATACAAGACAGTCAGCCACTTTTTGAATAACTTTTGATAGGAATGAGATAGAGACCTGCGATTTTCGCTGTTCAATAGCCAAGACTTGAGCAGAACTTTCTACAAGCAGA